TATGAAGGTGGAAAAGGTTTTCAATACTTGGATATTAAAGCTATTTTGGGAATTTATTTTAAGAAATTAAATGGTTTGCAAAAATATCAACATTTTCTTTTTGAAGCATCTAATCTTGGTACAGTAAAAGTTCAAGAAGTTGCTAATGGTTCTTTTGTTGAATTTGATTTATTAAAAATTAGGAGAACAGATATTTTTGAAGAAATTAGAGCTTTATCTATTTTAGTGTTAACACCACCTCCTTTGGATTACAAAAGGCAAGAATACCTTTATATTAATATTCGTCCATTTGTAAGGGATGAATTTAAAGATGTTACTTGTCCAAAACCAATTTATGCTGACAATGAATAGAAAATTTAAAAATAAACTAATAAAATAATTATATACTTAATAATGCTTTTATAAAAAGAAAGATATTAAGTATTTATTAAAATTGAAGAATATAATTAACAAAAATCATGAAAAACATAATCAATGAACAACAACAAGCAAATAAAGAACTATTAAACAAAATTGCTGATTTAGAAAAGCAGTTAGCCAATAAAGATCAAGAAAGAGAACAATCAATAGAAGAACTTAAATTAAAAATCTGGCACCTTACTGGACAACCCAGTGAAGACAGTTATACCCCTGGTCATTGATGATACAAAAATCTAAACAAAAAGTGAATGGATGAAGGTAAATTAAGAATGGCAGTAGATCCTAATGAAACTAGAGAATGAGCTCAAGGTTCTAAAAGAGTTTATTTTGACAACATCACTATTGAAGAGATGTTAGATGAATTCATTAATAGTTCAAAAGATTTAGGTGAAACTTGCTCTAAGTACATTTCTCAGTGAAGTGAACGAGGTTATGAAAACACTAGACAGAGAAAAGAGTTTGAAAAGAAAATAGCAGATTTGAATAAGTATAAAGAGCAAGTTGAAGATTTAGAAAAAAAGCTTACAGAAATTTTGTTAGTTTGACATGAGGAGCAAGAAGAAATTGATAATGTTTCTTGAGAAGATCAA